ATGCCAGCGGGGCCTGCCAGCGCCCTCGGGGTAACCAGCTGGGTTTGCTCAAGCGTCTTGCCTTCCGAGATTGTTTACATGAACTTCCCTTTCATCGTCAACGTGCATTTCACCACAGGATGGGGCGTGGCCACCACACCCCTCGCCCCACAGAGGCAGCTCTGCACAACACGTGTGCTCCGGCCTCATCCGGGCACGAAAGACCAAGGAACGCGAAACAGAGCGTGTCCGTCCGCTGCGAATGTATTAATGCACATCTGTGTCACGGTGAGAGTGTGCGAGCGGAAAAGTCCAAAGGAAAAGACTCTGTTCACGGAGACATAACTAAAGGGGAAAACCTGTGAGTGGGAAACACGTCAATTTAACCACAGAAAGGTCTTCGCTGGACGGGAACTGTGAAAGACAGACAGTTCTCTGGGGATCAGAGCTGTTGGAAACGGTAGCCAACGGGACTTAATGACATAATTGATGTTTATTAAAAATATAACCTAGCCCGGCCGGCGTGGCTCAGGGGTTGAGCATCCACCTATGAAAAAGGAGGTCATAGTTCGATTCCCAGTCAGGGCACAGGCCCGGGTTGTAGGCTCGACCCCCAGGGTGGGTGTGCAGGAGGCAGCCGATCCATGGGTCTCTCTCATCATTGATGTTTCTATCTCTCTCTCCCTCCTCCTTCCTCTCTGAAATCAATCAAACATATCAGGGACCTGACGGGATATATCTGCATATGCAGGAAGCACGCCCCACTTCCTCCATGTCTGAGACAGCACCCACACACGCACCCCCTTTTCTGCCTTTAGCCACACTCTACACAGGGCTCTGCAGCCAGACTCTCGGGACACGGGCATGTGCTGAGCTCGGTCTGAGAAAGGAGTCGGGGAGCAGCACTCTGCACCCTCGGCCGCCGGGGCCTCCCCGTGGGGGCACGCACTTCCTGCCCATGACGGCTCTGGACCGGGTGTCGAGCTCTGACCACTCAGGTCACACGCGGAGGCTTGAGATGTGCCTGTGCCGTGGGGCGTGCCACCTGTGCCCAGACACAGCCCGTGCAAAGACCACGCCCAGACGACCCATTCATCAGAGAGGACGGGACCAGCCACGCCCAGAACAGACCGACCAACCACATCGGCGCATGGGCACGAAGGAGAACAAGCATGAGGGGCTGGAAGCCGTGGGGCTCGGGGAGGCTTGGTCACAGCAGTAAGTCAAAGATGGCTAGTCCCACTCTTTAAAAGGAAGAAATACCAAAAATAACTAAATGCCTAATCAATCAAAATGTTTTACAAATTTTGATCTATGAGTGTGTGTGTGTTGTTAGGGAAAAAAATATATCGTTTCACCATTATCACCATCACCAATTATTATCCTCACCATCATCATCACCATCACGTGAACGCAGCTGCTCTCCGTCCCGGGAGGATGGACGGCACCTGAGCTTGTGGGACCATAACCATCATCACCATCACCATCATCATCACTACAATGATCATCACTGTCCCCGTCACCATCACCATCACCACCACCATCACCATCCCCTTCACCATCACCATCACCACCATCACCATCACCACCATCACCATCACCACCATCACCATCCCCGTCACCATCACCATCCCCGTCACCGTCACCATCACCATTTCCATCACCGCGGCCACCGCCATATCAGCAGCGTGTGACGCCGCACACATCCTTGCTTCCTCTCCGGAGCAGCTTTTCGCTGCAGGACCTGCATGTCACCTGGCAGTCTGTGGTTGTGCCAGGCCCTCCTACATGCTGATTGCACACATGCTGACTCCCATCACCTGGACCGCCTCACAGAGGCCGGGGCGGGATCCCGGCGTGATTTATGAGCAGGCTGGAGCACTCGTAAATAATGTCGGCTGTGGGGGTTTCTGACAAGGACGCAGGCTGCCTTCCCAGCAGGAGGAGGAGGGCGAGGGAGGACCGGGAGGGAGGCTCTGTCCCTGAAGCCAGCTGTGCAGTGAAATGGCATTCTGCTTTCGATTTGGATCTTAATGCTGAGCAACGAGAACCATCTGCGCAGCCTGGCGCTGGCTCCTCGCCCGCCTGCCCGCCCGCCCGGACCCCGCCGCCCCCCTCCCTCTGGCCACTGGGATGCAGACTCATAGCCTCCCGGACACAGACACATTATCCTCTCCCATCTGCTCCGAACCCAGGCCTGCCCACCTCCCCTGGGCTGCCCTGACAGCGGCCTCTCCCCTGACCCCGCTTCCGGGGTCCTCCTTACTGCACGGGACACGCCAAGGAAGGTGGGCTTCATGAAACCCCGCTTCTGGGAGCGGCGCAGTCTGAGGGAGCCTGGCTCCGGGCACAGCGTGGCAGCCGCCGTGGACCCGGCACGTGGCACCCCAAAAAGGAAACCCGGACGCTCTCAGCAGCTGCTCTCTGTCCCGGGAGGATGGACGGCACCTGAGCTCATGGGAGCCGGTCCACAATAGCGGGCAGGCGCTACGCTCCCACTTATACTGAGACCGGGCAGTGTCCGCCACGTCTCAGTACCACGGGGCCCGGAGGAAGGGAGGAGCCACGGGAACGGCCCACGTGGACCAGGATGGGGTCCGACCCGGATGGGGCCCGGGCCAGAAAGGGGAAGGGCGGACACGAGGCCTGGAGCATGTGACAGGGAACAGCACCCGCTGCCGTCAGAACAAGAGCCTCTTCTGTCTCCCCCACGACCCCCCAGCAGCCTGAGGGTCAGGGGCGGGGCTGGTTTGCACAATAAGCAAGGTGACCAGACATCCCTCTTTTGGCAGGACAGTCCCGATTTTTAACAATTTGGCCCGTGTCCCGTGGCGTTTTAAAAAAAGTCCCGATTTTTCGAAAAATCGGGACTTATTTATTTATTTATTTTTAAATATATTTTATTGATTTTGTACAGAGAGGAAGGGAGAGAGATAGCAAGTTAGAAACATCGATGAGAGAGTCATCGATCAACTGCCTCTTGCACACCCCCTACTGGGGATGTGCCCACAACCAAGGTACATGCTCTTGACGGGAATCGAACCCGGGACCCTTCAGTCCCCAAGCCGACGCTCTATCCACTGAGCCAAACCGGTTTCGGCAATCGGGACTTTTTAAAAATGCCATGGGATGCGAGACAAATTGTTAAAAATCAAATCGGGACTTTTAAAAAAAATAATATATTTTATTGATTTTTCACAGAAAGAAAGGGAGAGGAATACAGAGCTAGAAACATCGATGAGAGAGAAATATCGACCAGCTGCCTCCTGCACACCCCCCTATCAGGGATGTGCCCACAACCAAGGTACATGCCCTTGACCGGAATCAAACCTGGGATCCTTCAGTCCACAGACCGACACTCTATTCACTGAGCCAAACCAGTTTCGGCAAATCAGGACTTTTTAAAAATGCCACGGAATGTGGGAAAAATTGTTAAAAATCAAATCGGGACTTTTTAAAAACGCCACAGGACACAGGACAAATTGATAAAAATCGGACTGTCCCGCCAAAAGTGTGACGTAATAAGGCGCGTCACACACACGGACCCGAGAGCCCTCACCCCCGGTGCGTCCCTGTCCACAGGGAGCCGAAGCGGGAAAAGGCTCAGCCACTGCCCTTGTCACACCCCGTGGGGCGGAGCCAGACTCCAGAGCATGGGGCCAGCCTCCCCCCGCCTCCTTGAAGGAACATCACAGCCAAGCAGGTGCCCCCCTGCACTGAGCCGGAAGGAACAGGAGAGGGACAGGCTCCATCGTATGTTTTATTTCAATCGAAGAAGAAGGGTTAAATTCAAAGTTCAGAAATAGAAGAGATTGTCCAGTAAGTTCGGGAGCGTAACCGCGTCCATGGCGACGCTGACAGTTTAGCGGCTCCAGGTCCAGCTGTCGCTGTGCACGTGAGACACGGAGACGCCGTCTTCACGCTTATTCACGGGGTCGCGTCTGCCACGTGCCGGGAGCGAGGCCCCGGGGTGCTTCCCGACCACACGTCGGAGCCGAGCCAGCCTCCCAGCCGGCCCACCCGGCCCCCTGGCCTCCCAGGGGCTGCAGGGTCCAGCGGCCCCGGCCAGACAGGGGCCGGTCTGTGGCTCTCCGTGTGAGCTTCAGTTCTGACCCAGCCCGCCCCAGTGCCCCGGGGACTGGCCCAGTGCCACGTTCTCATGCCCTTGGGGCCTTCGGGAAAGAACGAGGAGGAAGCAGGACGGGCTCAGCCCCCTGCCTGCCAAGGGCACCCCGCCCAGGGCCCGGCCGCCCGGCCGTAACTCCTTAAGGAGACTGTCGGAGATGCTCAGGGGCCCCAGAGGGCAAGGCCAGAGGGCCGGGCAGAGGTGGGCAGATGGCAGGTGAGCTCCGCTCTGGCCTTGGACCCTGCCCGCCGCCTGGAGCCAGCGCGAGGGAGGGGGTTCACGGGGGTGGGGGGCCCCCAGCGTTGACGTCACTGTCTGAGGCCAACCTCGAGGCGGCAGGGCAGGCCCAGGAAGGTGGTCGGAGACCGTCCCCCAGGCCCCATCATCGCGCTGATGTGGTTGTCGATGTGACGGGAGCGAGACCTTGGGAAAGCGGAACGAAGGGACCAGGTCTCGGAGACACGCAGCCCGGCACACGCCACCTGCTGGCCGCACACCTTACAGCCCGAAGGTCAGCTCCCACGGGGACCCCGAGCTGCCGTACAGCGGGTCTCAGAGCAGCGGCCGGAGGAAGCGAGTGCCCGGGAGGCGCCACAGGCCATAGCCGCCGTGCCCGAGCCACAAGCCTCCACATGGACACCGTGGCCCGTCCCCCGAACACGCCCCCAGTGCAGGCATCCGAGGTCGAAGGGGACACATACGTTGTACGTGACTGACCGGCTGCAGCCAGCCCCGGCCTCGTCACCGGTGAAGGCAGTCCGTGTAAATATCTCCTTTCTACAGAGTGAATTTACATTTAAGGTACAAAGTGCAAATACTATGGGTTTTGTTTCTGTTTTTTAATTGCGTTTGGTGAGGGAGTCTCCCACACGTCTCAGCGCCGCGGCCTCCGCGCTCATCCTCGGTTCCTGGGCTGGAAAGGAGACAAGAAAGACGGGTGGGACCTTCGCATCCCCCGGCCGTGACGAGGACCCGCCTTCCGGGAGGGAAGCAGTCCCGGCTGCCGACACCAGGGGAAAGTGGCCTTCTACACGCTGTGGCTGCGGGCCGCCAGGACCCTATATAATTAGACCCTAATATGCAAATTGACCAAATGGCTAAACGACCCATCGCTATGATGCACACTGACCACCAGGGGGCAGACGCTCAATGCTGGGGCTGCCCCACAGATGGTCAGTGCACTCCCATGGCGGGGGGGGGGGGGGGGGGGGGGGAGGGGCGCGCTGCTCAGCCAGAACCAGGCTCACAGCGGGCGAGCGCAGCAGTATTGACGGGAGCCTCTCCCGCCTCCACAGAAGCATAAGGAGCAGGGGCAGGTGGGCGGTAAGGAGCAGGGGCAGGTGGGCGGTAAGGAGGAGCAAGCAGGTGGGCAGTGAGGAGGAGCGAGCAGGTGAGCGGTGAGGAGCCAGGGGCCCGGACTGCGAGAGGGATGTCTGACTGCCGGCTTAGATCTGATCCCTGGGGGGTTGGGCCTAAGCTGGCAGGCAGACATCCCCCAAGGGGTCCCGGTCAAACAGAGGCACACTCACCTGTCGATTGGAAGTGCTCTCTGTGGTGCCTTTGGGGGCTGTTGGGGGGAAACACAAAGAAGATTTAACAGCTGCACACGCTTCCAGGGTGAATGGCTCAGGGTCCCCTTCAGGGAAGGACCAGTCTCATGTTCGGATGATCCCAAGTGCTGGCGCACATGTTTCCATGGCAATGCTGAGCCCATCGGCAAGGAAGTGGGTCCCAGGGTCCTGTTGTGAACACCTCCTAACACCCTCCTCACCCCCGGGCTGGGCCTGGCCCCGAACTCCCAACGCCAGCCCCGAAGGCCGGGCCTCGTCCCTGTTTCCCAGGCGTCCTCTCCCCGGCATGGGTTTTGCCTATTTCCTGTCGTTTTGCCCATTTTCAGAGCAGGAGCACCCCGCCAATCAGTAGACCCGGCAGCGGTTTTACCCCCCGGGCCTTGATTGATTGATTGCTGCCTCCTGGCTTTGAGATTTAAAACGGCCAAGTGCAGCGAGAGGCATTGCCTTTCCACATCCCCTCCTCCCGCTGACGGGAGGGAACAATCACAGTAACGTGGAAGCACAAAGGCCGGAGAAAATTGCAAAATCACTGAATGCATAACCCGTCGGCAAACGGGCTATTGTTTCCAGTTGCAGGTTTGAGTGATTCGAGACCTGGTAATTGTAGCTACTTGGCTTTCTCTGGAATGACGGCTTCGCTGGCCACGTGGGGCCACTGGTTCCAATTTAAAGGCCATTCGTGAGCCTGGCGATCCGGCCTCAGCCGGCTCGGCGGCTCCACATGGCCGCCTTTTCATCGGTTTCTTTTAGGACAAGTATCGGTGTCCCTGGTACATGGAGGCAGCCCTAGGTTAGGGGCAAGTAACCACAGTGAGAGTTCATCCTCTCAGGTGCTGAGAAGGAGAAGAGCACCTGGCCGTGCGGATGGAAAAGGCAAATTTCATCAAAGACGCCGGGAGCAGCCAGGCCGGCATGCCTCAGGGTCAGGGCGCAGGCCCCGGGGGCAGGCTGGATCCCCAGTGGAGGGCGTGCAGGAGGCAGCTGATCAAATGACTCTCTCATCACGGGTGTTTCTACCCCTCTCCCTTCCTCTCTAAAATCAATAAAAATATATTTAGAAAGAGTCTTCGGTAAAGTTGAATGTCTCATTATTAAAAAGAAAAGAAAAGAAAGACATTTGTTGCAATATCTCATTCAAGGCACAGCAGTGAAAATCACCATTTAAAATGTACAGCCCTAGCCCATTTGGCTCAGTGGATAGAGCTTCGGCTGGTGGGTTAAAGGTTCCTAGATTCTATCCCAGCCGGGGGCGTGAGGAGGCAGCTGGTCAATGATTCTCTCGCATCTCCCTCTCCCTTCCTCTCTGAAATCAATAAAAGTATTATTTTTTTAAAAAATTAGACTAAAACGTACAAAGAGCAGGGAAATAAAGTTGTCTATGAGGTCTTTCAACACAACAGAATGTCCATGATCACTTCAGTCGGCCTGAAGCAAGGCACCTTCACTGAGAGAGAAGGCTGTTCCCAGCCCCTGGCCCCCCGGCCCCCTGCCCCCCGGTCCCCCCTGCCCCCCGGCCCGGAACAGCCCGGCGGGAGAGCTGATGTCATCGGGATCGGATGACCCTGATTGCTTCCAGGTGACCTGGCGGCGACGCCGTGAGGCAGCTTGCCTGAAGCGATGCAGCTCGCACGGCAATTGGGTGAAAAGACCATTTGGTCCAAACTGGATAATTCCTGATCGCCGTGTCTCTCCCCAACGGTCACTTTGGGGAATCACGAGGCCATGATGTAATCTTTTGTGACTTTCCCCGAATTCCTCAGAAATAGGCTCTTTTTTGGCTGTATCATTTCCTAATCGTCCGTAGTTCATCCCCCCCCCCTCCCCGCCGCGACGTTTGCATTTTTTATCACAGTGATTTATCGGTGTGATTCGAGGGCCTGACTGGGACTCGAACCTGGACTCTTTGGTGTGTGGGCAGACGCTCCAACCCCCGAGCCAGGCCGGCAGGGGCTCTCTAATTAGAGCCCTCGAATCACACCGATTTTAAGCAACGACACAAGATTTTGCATTTCAATTACCGAAACTGATATAAATAAATTATTGGAAAGTTTGATTTAAACTTTCACTGTGATAAAAAATGCAGGGGGTGGGGGGCAGGAGGGGGAGAGGGGGAGAGGGCGAGTGGGCGGGGGGGGGGGGGGCTTACTGTGCCGCTTCCTGCCGCCCGGCCTGCGCTCCTCCTTGGTCACGCCCAGGCAGCCCATCAGCTCGGGCAGGGCCAGGGCCTTGTCGTTGTTGAGGTCGCAGTACTCCACAAACTTCTTCACGCACTTCTTGGGCTTGGACTTCTTCCGCAGGAACCGCTTGAAGGGCTTCAGCTCCTTCTTGCCCACGTCCCCGCTGGCGTTCTTGTCCAGCAGCTTGAAGTACCAGTGCACCACCCTCTCCTCCAGCGTGTGGCTGGGGTCGGGCTCGGACAGCCTGGGGGGGCACATGGGAGGGAGTTGGGGAGCCCGCCAGGCCGCCAGCTGCCCTCGTCCCCCTCCCTCCCTGTGCCGTCCCGGCCCTGGCCTGAGCAGCACCTCCAACCCCTGAAGCCCTTTCCCGTCCGGGGAGGGCCCTCTTGCGCCCGCGCTCCGGCCCCAGGTGAGTGGCCGGCTCTCCAGCGAGGGCTGGATGTGGACGAGGGGCCAGTTTCCTCTGTTACCGGCTCCCGCCCTGGTCACCTGACGTACCTGCCGGGGGAGGAGGGGTCGGAGACGGCGTGCACCATGTCGGTGGACAGGGCGTCCAGCACGCTCGTGAGGAATTCATTCTTCTTGGCACCAGGACAGCCTGCAACAAGGACGCCGTTCCTTTGCTCTCAGACTCACAGACTCTCAGACGCACAGACTCACAGACTCTCAGACGCACAGACTCACAGACACACAGACTCACAGACTCACAGACGCACAGATTCACAGACACACAGACTCACAGACTCTCAGACGTACAGACTCACAGACTCAGACTCACAAACTCTCAGACTTTCAGACTCACAGACTGTCAGACGCACAGACTCACAGACTCTCAGACGCACAGACTCACAGACGCACAGACTCAGACTCGCAGACTCACAGACTCACAGACTCACAAACTCTCAGACTTTCAGACTCACAGACTCACAGACGCACAGACGCACAGACTCACAGACTCTCAGACGCACAGACTCATAGACGCACAGACTCAGACTCACAGACTCACAGACTCAGACTCACAGACTCACAGACTCACAGACTCACAGACTCAGACTCACAGACTCACAGACGCACAGACTCACAGAGCTCAGAGCTCAGAGCTCAGAGCCCAGCTCACAGGCCTTTCCCGTGGCGGGAAGTGGCACCGCTTCCTCCGTGAGGGCGTGTTGGGCTCATGGGATCCCTCAGGAGAGGCACCAACTGGCCCTCGTCAACACCGCGGACCCGGGGTTTCCTGTTACCCTTAATCCAGTCCCCGGAGCCGCAGAGTTGGGACCGATTCCTACCGGCTTCCACGTCACTAAACGCCCCAGGAAAGAGAGGGGCCAGGAGCTGGGGCCGAGGAGAGAGCTCAGGCCCGGAGGGGAGGGCGGCGGCAGAGCAGCCCACAGCCCGGGCAGAGTGAGGTTTGCAGGAATAATTCTCATCAGCTCCCCCGGCGGAAGGAGGAGTCGGGAGGCGGCAGCTGTGTCCCACAATCGGGGCCCCGGGACCTCCTGTGATTGCCCAACTCCGTTCTCACCGGGACAATTCCTCTCCTGAGCACACCCTACCCCACAGCTCCAAGTCCATTCCCCGTGGGCAGGAAGCTATGTGGCCGCTGACCCCAGGTACCTTTCCCAGGCGAGGGCAGGTGTGTCCGGGGCAGGTGTGTCCGGGGCAGGTGTGTCTCAGGGCAGGTGTGTCTCAGGGACCTGCCTGAGACCTTGCACTGGGTCCATCGGAAGACGCATCACCAGGATGCCTGGTTTAGGAACAAGCCCTGGCTTTCACCAATGTCCGCGAGCAGGCAAGTGTCCACACGGCATCCGGCCTGTGAGCCAGCCCTGCCTCGGGCGTCGGGGGGAAGCAGCAGGGGGAGCAGGCGCGGCCCCGTGAGCCGGCCTGTGCCCGGGAAGGTGAGGCTCAGGGTGAGAGTCAGGGCCGCCCGCTCCGTCCTGGAAGCCGCCTCTCCCTGAGGATGGACGGCGTGAATGAGGACTTGCTGCTCCTTATAGGGAAAACCTAACCCCGTGGTCGGCAAACCTTGGCTCGAGGGCCACGTGTGGCTCTTTGGCCCCTTCAGTGTGCCTCTCCCACAAATACCACAGCCTGGGCGAGACTGTTTTGAAGAAGTGGCATTAGAAGAGGTTTGAGTTTTAAAAATTTAGCTCTCAAAAGAAATTTCAGTCGTTGTCCTGTTGACAGTTGGCTCTGTTGACGGATGAGTTTGCCGACCACAGGCCTAACCTGTGAGGAAGCCCAGTGCCTCCAGCCACGCAGCCAGCAGCGGCATGCGTGTGTTCTGCCTCGGTCCGTGTGACAAGCGGGAAGGGCCCGGCGCCTCTGGTACGACATTCCCGTCAGCACCGTGCCATCCTCCGTGCATCAAGGAAAAACAAGCGCGGCCCCGTAACTGGTCGTCATTGTTCCTGTTTATTGTGAATGAGTAATTTCCACCGTTTGCCCCCAAGGTTTCTCCAGTTTCTCCTCATTTTCTTAAAAATCAGGAAAAAATTAGCTGAACTAAATTTCCTAATAAAAACCTCACTAAGACCTCTGCCAAGTGCAGGCAGCTACTGAGCTCAGTTCTTGCTGTTCCCGTGCCTCCTGCACCCTCTCAGCATCCCGTCAACATTGCTCTGAAGAAGCAGCCAGTCCTACTACTGTGTTTCCCCGAAAATAAGACATCCCCTGAAAATAAGACCTAGCGCAACTTTGGGAGAAAACATTAATATAAGACACTGTCTTATTTTCGGGGAAACAGAGGAGAAGGCTCGTCTCAGCCTGCTCCTCTGGGCGTCCGGCCGTCCCGCGATCGGACCGCCCCTCGGGGTGCCCGGGCCCCAAGTCTCCGTTGAAACATCTGGGTTTGCATTTTTACCCGTAGCACCCTTTTCTCTGCAATGCTGCATGTAGCATTCTATTTATCTGCCCTTTTTCCTATAAAAGGCAATTTTCTCCTAAAGGACTGTCATTCCACAAACTTAACTGCACATTTCACCACCCACGGTCATAAGACGTGAAACAGTGTCGCCCTCTCTCCAAGCATTGCTCTCTCGATCGGCCCCTCCGCCGGGACCCGGCGCAGACTTTGACATGGCTATGTTCTTCCATAGTAACGTCATCACGTCATCGGAGAGCATTAAACAGCAAACACGCATTTCATACCCACGCTCACACACGGCCCACCTGACCTCATCTGCCACCTGAGCTCCCCTGCCACCTGACCTCACCTGTCACCTGACCTCACCTGTCACCTGTTCTCACCTGTCACCTGTCCTACCTGCCACCTGACCTCACCTGCACACCTGACCTCACCTGCGCAACTGACCTCATCTGACACCTGACCTCACCTGCCACCTGACCTCACCTGTCACCTGTTCTCACCTGTCACCTGTTCTACCTGCCACCTGACCTCACCTGCACACCTGACCTTGCCTGCACACCTGACCTCACCTGTCACCTGTTATCCCTGTCACCTGTCCTCTGACCTCACCTGTCACCTGTCCTCACCTGCTACCTGACCTCACCTGTCACCTGACCTCACTTGCCACCTGACCTCACCTGTCACCTGTCCTACCTGCCACCTGACCTCACCTGCCACCTGACCTCACCTGTCACCTATTATCCCTGTCACCTGTCCTCTGACTTCACCTGTCACCTGTCCTCACCTGTCACCTGACCACACCTGTCACCTGTCCTCACCTGCACACCTGTCCTCACCTGTCACCTGACCACACCTGTACACCTGTCCTACCTGCACACCTGACTACACCTGTCACCTGACCTCACTTGCACACCTGACCTCACCTGTCACCTGACCTCACCTGCACACTTGACCTCACCTGTCACCTGTCCTCACCTGTCCTCACCTGTCACCTGACCTCACCTGCACACCTGACCTCACCTGCACACCTGTCCTCACCTGCACACCTATCCTCACCTACACACCTGACCTCACTTGTCACCTGTTCTCACCTGCACACCTGACCACACCTGCCCACCTGTTCTCACCTGTCACCTGACCTCACCTGTCACCTGATCTCACCTGTCACCTGACCTCACCTGCACACCTGTCCTCACCTGCACACCTGACCTCACTTGTCACCTGTTCTCACCTGTACACCTGACCACACCTGACCACCTGACCTCACATGTCACCTGACCTCACCTGTCACCTGACCTCACCTGCACACATGTGGTCCTGGACGTTACCAGGGAGGCAGGCACCAGGGAGCAGGACCAGGAAGCCCTCCAGGGGTGGCTGGAAGCCCTGGGCACACAGCAGAGCACCTGCTCTCTCAGTCTCCAGGACGAGAGGGCCACCGTCTGAACCTAAGGCTCCTTCTGGCTCAGCTGCCACTCAGCAGACCCGTGTCTACGAACACGGCATCTGATCTGACGAGGAAGTCACCGAGCGACACGTGTAGTGGGCGAAACATTGGCTCCTCCTGTGTGTGAGGGAGCTCGAAGGCCGAGCCCAGTGCCAACAGGTGAACGCGGGCTCTGCAGGGCCGGGCGGCCCTCGGCCTGGCGCTGGGTCCGCAGGGACCACCTGTGGAGAGCAGCCGGCGCCTCCGTGGGGGTGAGCACCCTTCACGGCGCTCGGAAGGCGCCGAAACCGGACAAAACCCAGGGTGCTCTGGGGGCCTGGAGCAGGCAGAGCGCATGCGTGTGCGTGTGCGCCGTGCGTGTGTGCGTGCGTGTGTGGGTGCACGCGTGTGTGTGCGTGTGCATGCATGTGTGCGCATGCGTGTCCACTGTCACTGCCGTGAGAGAAAGACCAGCGGCCGTGCGGCTGGCAGGCAGCAGCTCGGCCCGAGAACAGCCGATCCCGCATTATTCCAGGGCGGCCTGGTTTTCCCTAATAAGGACGCTTGTCTCCGGAGAATCCCAAGGAGCAGCACCCACGACGGCGCACTCACTCCAGACCCCGCGGCAGCGGAGGCTGCAGGCTGAGCCCTGAGTTTGTGTCTGAGGCCTGGGAGGCGGGAGGCAGCGTCTGGGTGACAGCGCCCCAGTCTCCCCCAGGGCAGTGGCGGAGTGGGGTGCAGGGCAGGGCGGTGGGTTCAGCTGGGACAGGCCCTCCCACAGCGCCCTCCCTGGATGCTCTCTCTGAAGGCCCATCTGACACTCAGACTGCAGCCCTGACAGCCCCCTCCCTCGACAGCCGTCCCCACAAGACGACCCCACCGGCCTCTGGCAGGGTCAGGCATCGCCCTCTGTTCAGGTTCCATGGTGAGCGCTCCCGCCCGCTCGCCGCGGACACAGGCGTTCGGGGGCCCCTCAGCGGCAGCTGGAGGCAGGGCAGTGCTGTCTCCTCTGACCAAAAGCAGGGAGACTCGGCCCCGTCGGACAGAGGCAGACCCTGAGACGTGAGCAAGACCCAAACGCGTCCTCGTGGGCCCCCGGGCGCCGGGCACAGGCCAGAGCCTCCGTTTCCCGTGAGAAAACTGCCTTCCCCCAAATGCCGACCGCCCGGGGCAGGGTTCCCTTCACGCGCGCTTCTGCCGGCCCAGAGATCTCTCCCAGGCCCGGCTGCACAGAGGCCTCCGCGCGCTGGCCTGGCGCAGAGGACGGTTCCAGAACCGGCCCGGCCGGAGCAGCGGCGCCCGCCCTCGGCCCACAGAGCACATCGGCCCTGAAGGCAGACAGGCGCTTCGCGGACAGGAAACGCTCCCGGGGCCCGGCGCCACGAACCAGCACCACGCGGAACGCCGGGTCTTTTTTAAGGTGAAGAAGAAGAAAAGGTTTTAAAAATACGGACGATAGAATGGCAATACATACGTATCTGCCAACGGTGGAATCTAACAACCAGAATAAACGATCAAAGAATCTAAAGAACAAAATAAACGGATGAATGAACCTGAGCCAGAGGCGTGAACACACGGAACAGACTGACGGACCTCAGAGGGCGGGTGGGGGAGATAACCAAAGACCTTGTGTGCGTGTGTGTGCCTGTGTGCATGTGCATGTGTGTCTGAGCACATGTGTGTGCCTGTGTGCGTGCATGTGCCTGTGTGTGTGTGCGCGCATGCACGTGTGCCTGTGTGCACGTGTGTGTGCCTGTGTGCACGCACATGTGCCTGTGTGCCTGTGTGTGTGCCTGTGTGCCTGTGTGCATGTGTGTGTGTGCCTGTGTGTGCCTGTGTGTGTGTGCCTGTGTGCCTGTGTGCGTGTGTGTGTGCGTGTGTGTGCCTGTGTGCGTGACCTGTGCTGCCGGTGGGGCGGGAGCCGGTGGAGGGCGGTGGGGACGGAGGCAGCACGGGTAACACGCCCAGTGAAGGCCCCTCCAAAGGCCCTCAGACAACCCGGGCAGCCGCTCTCTCTTCCGCAGAAGCGATCCCGAGGCTCAGGAGGAGGCGCGCCAGCACGTTCCGAGGCGGACAGACGGGCTGCCCCTCGGACAGTCTCCACCGCCGACCAGGCTCCGCCCTCCCTGCCGCCAGCAGGCCCCTGGGGGGCGATGGGGGCCGGCTGCCTGAGGGCCCCCCCGCCCCGTTCTGTCTCTCCCGCCCCAGAAGCTCTGAGTGTGGGTCCGCCCCGCCCCGCCCCGCCCCGCCCACTCACCCTGCAGCGGCCGGCCCCGGTGGAGGTCCCGGGCTTTGGTGGGGTGCGCCCTGGCCGTGTGGTCGCATTTCGGCTGCTCGTACCTACGAGGGGGGAGGCCGGTCAGTGGGGTCAGGGCCCTGAACGGGGTCTCTTCCCTTTCTCGCTGTCCCCGAGCAGGACCCCGCGGGCCCGTTAGGGAGAGGGGGCCGGGGGCCGGGGGCGGGGCGGGGCAGGGCAGGGAGTGGGGAGGGTGCAGGGAGAAGGGGCAGAAGCAGTAATGCTGGCTGACACCCAGCTTACAGGCCCGTGTCTGGGCCCGGCCCGTCCTTCCGAGTGGGAGCCGCGGGCACGGGCTTCGTGGCCAGAAAGCCCTCGGCCTGTGAAACGCTGCCCCCCCCCCCGCAGGCTCACCTGGTGGAGGTGCCGGGGATGGGCCGGCCCGTGTCCACCAGCACGCACCAGCAGTAGCCGGTGCTCGGGTGGCACTGCACCGGCTTGTAGAGGCCGCCGCGCGCGCACTCGGGCACCACCACGTCCTCGCTGCGCGGCTGCCGCGCCTCCTCCAGCGCCGACTGCTGCTCCTGGTCGCACGAGGACGCTGGGGGGGGGGGGCGAGGGCCGATGGACACGCAGCCACACGCCCCGCACACGCCCGTGCACATGCCCCCACTCGCTCCCACACGCCCCGTACACGCCCCGTACACGCCCCGCACACGCCCCGTACACGCCCCGTACACGCCCCGCACACGCCCGTGCACACCCCGTACACGCCCCGCACACGCCCCGTACACGCCCCTTACACACCCCATACACACGCCGCACACGCCCCCACTCGCTCCCACATGCCCCGTACACACCCCGTACACGCCCGTGCACACGCCGCACACGCCCCCACTCGCTCCCACACGCCCCGTACACGCCCCGTACACGCCCCACACATGCCCCGTACACGCCCCGTACACAACCCGTACAAACCCCGTACACGCCCCGCACACGCCCCGTACACGCCCGTACACACGCCGCACACGCCCCCACTCGCTTCCACACGCCCCGTACACACCCCATACACGCCCCGTACACACCCCATACACGCCCCGTACACACCCCGTACACGCCCGTGCACACGCCGCACACGGCCCCCACTCGCTTCCACACGCCCGGCACACGCCCCGTACACACACTGCACACTCCACAGGCAGCCCATACACGCCCCAAACATGCCCCACACACGCCCCGTTCACACGCTGCACACGACCCCACACAACCCACACACAGCCCCTCACGCCCCGTACAAGCCCCATATACACGCTGCACACGGCCTCCCCCACACCCTGCACACACCCCATGTACATGCTGCACAACGTCCCCACCCACACCCCACACGCCCCATATACACTGCACCACACACCCCGCATACAGGCCTGCACATGCCCCCACACACCCCCCGAACACAGCCCCCCACACGCCACAGCCCTGTATATGCCCCATACACATGCCACATATGGCCCTGCTCATGCCGCCCCCACCCCACATCCCCACACAGAGACATGCACTCGACCTACACACACCCCACACGGTCCGCACGCGGCCCCGCACACGGCCCCGCACACGGCTGCGGACAGCTGGGGCACAGGTGGGAACTCGACTACACAGAGACCCTCCTGGAGCAGGTCCCTCACACAGACTCCCCTCCACGTGGTCACATAATGCAACATGCTTAATACACAGGAGGTAACATTTACACATGCTGTGTAAAAGACCCTGCACTGTGCACAGGTGCACACACTCACTCCCCCTCCTCCCCCTCCTTCTCCCACTCCTCCTCCTCCTCCCCCTCCCTCCCCTCCCCCCTCCCCCTCCCCCTTCTTTTCCTTCTCCCCCTCCTCCTCCTACCCCTCCTCCTCCTCCTCCTCCTCCTCCCCCTCCTCCCCCTCCTTCTCCCACTCCTCCTCCTCCTCCCCCTCCCTCCCCTCCCCCCTCCTCCTCCCCCTTCTTTTCCTTCTCCCCCTCCTCCTCCTACCCCTCCTCCTCCCTCCCCTCCCCCTCCCCCTCCTCCTCCTTCTCCTCCCCCTCCCCCTTCTCCTTCTTCTTCCCCTCCTTCTCCTCCCCCTCCTCCTCCTCTCCCTCCCCCCCTCCTCCCCCCTCCCCCTCCCCTTCCTCCTCCTCTTTTTCCTTCTCCCCCTCCTTCTCCTCCTCTCCCCCTCCTCCTCTTCCCCCTCCCTCTTCTCTTCCTCCCCCTCCTCCTCCTCCCCTCCTCCTCTTCCCCCTCCCTCTTCTCTTCCTCCCCCTCCTCCCCCTCCTCCTCCTCCCCTCCTCCTCTTCCCCCTCCCTCTTCTCTTCCTCCCCCTCCTCTTCCCCCTCCTCCTCCTCCTTCTCCTCCTCCCCCCTCTCCTCCTCCCCGGGGAGAAGGTGGTTGGCCTGCATCCTGTGGGCTTTGGTGGCTGCTGGGAGGCGGGGAGGCATCCCACTGGGGGACCCGTCCTGCTGGGGGACCCGTCCCACGCCCCCTGTGTCCACTGCTGTGACATGTGAGTTGCGAAGAGATGGGTTCGGACAGGAGCTGCAGGCCAGCCTGCCCGGCCCTGCGGCCGGCAGCCCCAGGAGGCCCGCGCAGCCATCGCCTCTCAGCCACCTCCTGCCTGAGGCGCGCCCTCCTGCGGGCGGGCGCTCAGACCGTCGGGCAGAAACGTCCAGCGCGGCGGACTCTAAATGTTTACCTTGTGCCGCTCCCAAGGCCGGGACACGGGCGTCTGGCACCTCGGGCCTCACCTAATAAGGCAGGGCTGGCCCGGCTGCAGCTGGCCCGCTCCGGGCGCCCTGAGGAGCAGGCAGGGCCGGGAGCAGGAGCGCGCCCGCCCGCCCGGACCTGGAGCCCGAGGACCTGTGTGACCCACGGGGTCAGGCTGGGCGAGGAGGGTCCCCTGCCTCCTGTCACGTGGCCTCACACGCAGATCCCCCGAGACACAGGGCCCAGGAGCGAGAGCCCCACCTCCCCAGCAGAGGCAGGAGCCACCCATAACTTCACTCCTTCCTGGGTGTCCGGCCCCGCGGACGGAGGCAGCCCTGGGCTGGCGGCCGGCAGAGGGCGGCCACCGGAAGCAGCGGGGCCGTTCCTGACAGAGCCGCTCAGGCCCAGGCCCAGCCGTGGCCTCCGTGGCCTTCATGGCGTTCCTGGAAACCGTGGAAAAAGCAGGCTCAGTGAGACCTGCAGGGGAACGTGCACAGCAGCCCCCCACCCTCGCCACCATCGCCCGGCGTGGAGGCAGCCAGGGTCCCTCAGGGACGGACAGCGGGGCGGCGGCCCTCAGATCACGGGATGGACTCGGCGATGAGAGAAATGAGCCAACGTGCCAGGACAAGACCGGGAGGAGCCGAGCTGGTGTGGCTCAGTGGGTAGAGCGTCCACCTGCAGACAGAAGGCCCCAGGTTGGATCCCTGGTCGGGCACTTGCCCGGGTCGTGGGCTGGATCCCCAGTGGGGAGAGTGCAGGAGGCAGCCGGTCTGGTTTTCTCTCATCCCATCTCTCTCCCTTCCTCTCTGAAATCAATAAAAAATAAATAAAAAATAGCGGGAAGTAGGTGCAGCACAGTTAGAGAACCACAGTTTGGACACTGAAGTCTAAGAATTCCATCTGAGGAAAACGCCCTTCCAGCTAGGAAGACGGGAAATGCAGCACATTTTTAGGTTAAAATTTTTGCAGAATTCGCTTTTTCAGTCCACATTTAAAAAGAGCTATTTGTGTTCTTTTTTCCGTATTGTAATCTCTTTAAATGACCAAAACTTCATAACTTGAGAGTCTCGCTGGTATTTGATGTTTTTGCAAGCCTGCGTTTAAAACATGAGATTAAAGAACGGGGAGATAAGGTTTTAAAACTTAGAAACCCACAAAGCACACAGCGTCGGCTGACCTTCCCCGGGGAATGCCGTTTGCCAGGACTGAGCGCAGAAGCAGGAGATGACGATCTCTTGGCGCTGAGCTTAACGGCAATAAAACCGGAGCCGCCCTCGCGGGAAGGCAGCGCCCGTAAAGCCGGCGGGAGGGCCGGGCCGGGCCGGGCCCTGGGTGGGGACGGGGGAGGGGAGGATCCCTTTATCTCAGGGAAGGGTTCGGGCCGAACATCACAGGCAGAGCACTCGGAAGATCGGCCCCGCGGCCCCACACGGCACGTGGAGAGCCACGGCCGAGACAGAAAGCAGATGTGCTAGCCCCGTGGTCGGCAAACTCCTTAGCCCACAGAGCCAAATATCAACAGCACAACAACTGAAATTCCCTTTGAGAGCCAATTTTTTTAAACTTAAACTTTTGCTAATGTCACTTCTTCGAAATAGACGCGCCCAGGCCGTGGTGTTTTGTGGAAGAGCCACAATCGAGGGGCCAAAGAGCTGCATGTGGCTCGAGAGCCGCAGTTTGCCGACAACTGAGGTAGAGGCAAATAAATAAGGAGACACATGGCCGGTGGCCCAGACTCCACGCATCTGTGAGCGTCCCTCCCTAAAGCCCTCGGTAACCCCGGGGGCCAGTGGCCTGTGCCGTGGCCACCCACGCCGGCCCAGGGCTGGGGACGGCCCCCGTCAGCGCCCTCTCGTGGCCCGGGGTGGCAGCCTGGGCGGCGGGGGCTGTGGGGCAGGCGGCCCCTGTGCAGAACTGTCAGCCGCAAGGACTCTGGGGGCATCACAGTGACCCTCAGACAGACCCCCCAGATCAGAGCTGAAGTGACAAATGCAGCAGGGGGGCACCAGCATGTTGTCCTCAACACGGAAAAGCCAGTGCCTCAATTTACCCAGAGCCGGCAGAGGGTGCTTGGCGAGGACCCCACGCTGCCCACGGCCCCTGGACGGTGGCCCCGCAGCCCGATCCCCACCTCCCTCCGTCGCTGCATCGACGCCTGGGGTACACCAGTGTCCGCATGTCGGGGTGCAGGACTCGACTGAGAAACCGGGCCACACTAACGGGGCCGAGTCCCCTCAGGTGCCCCTGACTCAGAAGATGGACAGGCCGGCGCAGTCCGTGCAGAGCTCGCCACGCCCCCCCAGGCCTGTGGGGGAGCTCCCGCCCGGGGGACCTGCCCCCTCAGTCACTGAGCAGCCGCAGCTCCCCACGAGGTCCCTGCAGGGCCCCACCTTCACGCGCTCCAGGCACATGGCCGGGCCATGGGCGCATGGGGCTGACAGTGCCCACACAGCGATCACACCTCTGTGTCCCAGACTTTGATAAGATGTGTGAACGTCACACATACACGGGTCACATGTACACAGGTCACACACACGGGTCACACGTACACAGGACACACACACACAGGTCACACGTACGTACACAGGTCACAATACACGGGTCACATGTACACAAGTCATACATACACAGGTCATACATACACAGGTCACACGTACACAGGTCACACATACACGGGTCACACACACGGGTCACACGTACACGGATCACACATACACGGGTCACAAGTACATAGGACACATACATGGGTCACATGTACATACACAGGTCACACATACATGGTGTCAAACATGCTGTGGGGGAGCCGGGAGCCCCAGGGACGAGGTTCTAAAGCGAAGGCCGTGTGTGAAGGTCAGCGATATTCCCTCGAAACCGACCTCGGGAATCCGGGCTCGGACACACAGACCTGGGACACGGCGTTCTCCCCGTGAGAATCGGGGAGGCTCACCGGGAAGGCGAGGGAGCCGTGCAGGCGCGAACAGCGGGGGGGACACGCAGGTACGGGTGGTTCTCACGGACAGCGGGTCACAGAGCAAACACTGGGCAGCCCACACCCATCTCCAATGTCCAATGTCAGGTTCAAAGGTATAGTCTGGCCCGGCCTGCGTGGCTCACTGGCTGAACGTCGACCTATGGACCAGGAGGCCAGGGTTCGATTCCCGCTCAGGGCACAGGCCCGGGTTGGGGCTCCATCCCCAGTGGGGGGCGTGCAGGAGGCAGCAGATCCATGATTCTCTCTCATCATTGATGTTTCTGTCTCTCCCTCTCCTCTCCTCTCTGAAATCAATAATAAAATACATATATTCTTCAAAAAGTAAAGTCTGACACTGATTCATAGCAAAGCCATCAAGCAATTCTGAGGATTCTGAATTAGTCAGGCATTTCGACATCCCTGGCACTCAGTCACAAACACACACTCATTACCAAACATTCCCATTTCCACCTGAAGCTGCCATTTGCTTGGCACCAACAGAGAAACCTCGTGGAGACTGGAACGCGTCATAAAAACACCAACATCCGAACCGCACAGCCCAGTGCTCACGCCGTAACCGGGACACGCGCGTCCACACTCCCCCTGAGGAAACAGCCGGGGCGCGGGCCCTGTACCTGAGTGCTTGGTCTTGTTCTGCCGGCTTTTAACCTGTTCTGTCCACAGCGTCGGGTAGCGCGAGGCGATATCTGACAAAGCAAAACGGGCGGACCGTCATTGTTAGTTCATCTGGGAAACTGAGGTTTCAGCAGCAGCCTGAGAGCCAAGGAGATCGGTACAATACTGAGCACACATTGTACATGTTAAAGATTCACGAAATAATTCTGTGCACATTTAGAATTTTCAGAAAATTTTTTCTCTCCATCCAAGAGTGTAAACAAACATCGTGAGAATCCAGACACGGGCTTTATCAAACCGTCCGCGAGGTCCAGACGCACATTCGCACGGCGTGCAGTCGGAGCTCAGCGGGACGGTCGGCTCTGAGCGGGTGTGTGAGACGTGATTTCATGCAAAGCGTTTTTGGGAGAGTGTGTCCTGGGCGCTTGGTTGACGAGCGTAAAGGCTGGTCAGTCACGTGATGGCCCGAGAACCTCCCGGGAGCAGACCAGCCAGGTCCAGCCCCCTGAGCCAGGCCCCGGCCTCCTGGCCTCGGACAGGTTCCCTGTGTTCTCGCCCGTGGCTCGGGGCTCTGGGGGTGCAGGGGGCTGTCCGCAGGGCACAAGGGAGTGCAGGCTATGCCGGCGTTGGCCATTATTATTACTTATGGATGTAACTGTCTGCAGAGCACCATGTAACTCCACCTTCACTCACGCATCTACATGCACCTGCATTCTGTCTTCACACCCGACTCCTTTGGCCTGAGGTGTGGGACACACGGCAAACACCCCAGACGGTGCAGGAGCGGCCGAGCGTGGGAAACCCAGCCCCCGTGACTGCGGGGCAGAGCGTGTCTCGGAGCCACGTGTGAGCAGGACATGGGAGTGTGACATGTGAATAGGGAGGGACAGTGCCACACGCCACTGTGCTCTAAGGAGATGTCTGTCTTACATCACCCGCATTTCAGAATGTCAGTGCGGGGTTTGATTAAGAAGACACCGCGTGGCAGCCCTCACACCCACGAGGGACAGCGGTGCTCACAGCAGCGCCCTCCCCGCCCCCCTGTGACCCCAGCCCCGCCCCCCTCACCTTCTTCGTCGCCTTGGGGCTGCGTGTCCAGCGCGGGGGCTGAGGCATCATCTGAATTCAGAACGGAAAACATTTGCAAGGAGACTACAAGCCGGAGACAAGCGGGTAAGTGTGCGTGCAAACAGCCCGCAGGGAACACGCACCCACCCAGACACGCGGGGCACCGAGGGCGGGCGGCGGAGACACTGCTGGGAGAGGCTCCTCCACCCGTGGGCCAGGCCCCACCACAGCCTGAGAGGCCAGATGGGGTTCTACACCCTGAGCCCCCTGGGCCCCGTGTGTGTGTGTGTGGGGGGGGGGGAGTGTGAGCCAGGAGCCCAGTGCCAGGAAAAGGCAGCCTGAATGGTCAGGAGGTCAGGTGGCCACAGGTCCAAGAGAGGGGCATGACAGGGGCTGTGGGCAGGGCCTGGCAGGGGCTGTGGGCGGGGCCTGGTGGGGCTGTGGGCGGGGCCTGGCAGGGGCTGTGGGCGGGCCTGGCAGGGGCTGGGCAGGTTTTCCCGAGGGGAAGGGCAGGGATGAAGGCCTCCTAGTTGAACTGCTGTCCATGGGTCTCTGCACCCCTGAGCTTCCCCTCCACTCGCTGGGGCTGGGTCCTGAGGGTGGCAGAGCCCTCCCTCCCCAGAGGAGTTGTGGCTCCATCGGGGCCCCGGCCATCGCTCTGCATGAGGATCACATGTGCCCCAGCCCCGATACCGGGCATGACTCCTCCTCTCCCCGGCGTGGCCAGGCCAAAGCCCCCAGGTGGGTACGGGGCACCGGTGGGCAAATTACATGCCAGCCTACACGTCTGCAGGTGAATATTTAACAGCCTGCCTTGGCCCTCACGGTCGTTATGAGCTCAATTTGCAGGTTAACGTGAGACGTTGGCATAAGGCACGGGTTGGGTCAGGTACAGTATGTTGTTGTGGGAATTCCTGTTAAATGTAAACAGTTACCTGTCTTCCCCGTGCCTTCCCGCTGAGGTAACTTTTCATTTGTGGAACCTGTGGGGGGAAATAAGGAAGGAGATTATTTGGGCTCCAAAACCATCATAAGTCATTGTTACAAACATGTGTTCTCCCGTGTTGATGGGGTCACGGTGCTTGTGGCTTCTGGTCCCCGAAACCACGAGGCCTATGCCAGGCAGCATGAGAGGCACCCCTACCCGCCACTGCCCTCCCACTGCATGCCCGAGACCTTCTCATGCCCCCCCCCCCCTTCTGGGTAATGTCAGCCCAGCCTTCCTCACCAGGAGCACCAGGCTGGGCAGGAAAAGGAGCTAATGTTTCAAATACTTTAATTAAGAAGTTACTCAATTGCAGACACATTAAGACCTCAGTTTCCGCTGGATCCAAATTTACAGAAAAACGACCAAACCGAGGAGCCGCCTCCTGGGGGCGCCACGGGAACAGGAACCGCCAAGCGGCCGACCATGACAGATGCCTGTTTACAAACACCAGGACCAGGCTGTGCCCACAGGCTGGGACTGCAATCGGCACCCACATTCCTCTTCATCCCCATGGCACGCACTCTCCCCGAGTCAGGCCCAACCTGGTCAAAAGGACAGGGTGTGTATCCTGCAACTCGGTTCGGAGTATTCCGACCAGGGTCCAGTTAGCGCTGTGGCTGGCAGACTCATTAGCCACAAGCCGCAGTTTGCCGACCACTGGGTTATTGTGACCACGGTAAGTGCCAGGTCAGCAGCAGCATCCCGTGAACAAGAACCTGAAATGCCTTGTTTACTTTATTTTTTAATATGTTTGATTTGATGTCAGAGAGGAAGGGAGAGGGGAGGGAGAGAAACATCACCAATGAGAGAGAATCACGCATCAGCTGCCTCCTGCACGCCCCATACTGTCACCCGGGCCTGTGCCCTGACTGGGAATTGAACCTGGGACCTCCTGGTTCATAGACCGATGCCCGACCACGGAGCCACGCTGGCTGGGCCGCTGCTTATTTTTCCAGTCGTGAGTATGGCATTAAATGCAGACCAACGCCTGTTGGGACCAGGGACCCTGATGATGAGGTTTATGCTGTGTCCTGGACACACAGTTGTGCCTCATGGCAAACATCAGGCACTTCGTGGAGAGGGACCTCAAAGGCCCTGACCGGTTTGGCTCAGTGGATGGAGTATGTGCTTGTGGACTGAAGGGTCCCGGGTTCGATTCCAGTCAAGGGCATGTACCTTGGTTGCAGGCACATCCTTGGTTGGGAGTATGCAGGAGACAGCTGGTCAAAGTTTCTAACTCTATCCCTCTCCCTTCCTCTCTGTAAAAACCAATAAAATATTTTTTAAAGGACTTTGGAAAATAACAGATCAGAGACATAACCTGGGGCTCCCGCCCAGAGCGGTCCCCATCCCGACCCAAATGCGAAGCAGCGTATTTCCTTAAAGGAACATGGCGCGCGGCTCTAAAACACACACACACACACACACACACACACACACACACACACGCGGCGGCTTCCCGGGGTTTTTGCAGAAGTGTTTGGAGAGCAGATTCCGGGTGCTGGTGCAGAGGGACCGGCGTGCCGGTGTGGACCCACCACACGTGGGCGGTGAGCTGCGGTCGGACCTGCGGACGCTCGGGTTTAAAGGCCTGATCCCTCCCGATGGAGCGCCATCCATCCACGCGCCATCGTGAGAGGCAGCTGCCGGCCGGCGACGAGGCGGCACTCCCGGGAGAAACCACAGACACGTGAGGAGGGCGCCTGGGTCTGAGGAGGAGCCGTGAGCTCTCGGTCTGCGGCTCCGAGCACGGGTTCTGATCCAGCTCCCTCAGCAAGCCCCAGAGCAGCGGGCCCACGGGAGGGAGAGAGGGGGCGGCTCTCGGCAGGGTACTGAGCCCACCCCTTCACGGACTGAAGGCTCTTTACAGACAGCCAGGATGGGAGAGTTGGCTGTGTCTGTCCGTCTGTCCCTCTGCCCGAGGGAGAGGGTGAGGCTCCATGACGTTGGCTCCCTGTGGGCAGGGGCCATGCTTCCTGGAAACGCATGGCCCAGGAGGGTGCACATGGCTCTCCCTGGGAAACAAGAGCCAGAGGGAAAGGGGAGCAATGGCAACAGCAATGAGAGGGGGGCACAGGGGCCAGGGGCTCCGTCCCCCTGCCTGCTGGGGGCCACGCCCGGAGCTGGGAACCATCTGCCTCTGACAGGCTCCTCGGTTCCTTTGCGGTTTTATTAAATATGAGAGAAGAGGCGAGAAGGGCCGTGGTGGGCGAGGGATGGAAAGAACACACTCATATACTTTGAAGTAATGAAAAATTCAATTACGAATTAGCCACACATTAACCGTGCACGGAGCACAGCGCCGGGGGCGGTGAACGGCGAGCTCGGGCGTCTGGAAGCGCTGTCACCCGGGAAGAAAAGCCACAGTAACGGCAGGGAGCGCGGTCCCTCAGGGAAACGATAACACCAGCATCCTCTCGCCACGCCGCTGAGTAACAGAAACGCGTCCAAATGGAAAGGAGGAGAGAGCCGGGGGGAGCCGGCCGTGTGGACTCAGTGCCCAGCACCCCCACCCCGGCGGCCGAGCCACGCCCACGTGGCCGGGTCTGGCTCCCGCCTCGCGGTCAGCGCTGTTGGCGCTCCGCACACACACTCCCCACAGGGTCCCTCGGGCGCTGGCGCAGCCACCATGCTCTGCAGGCCCCTCGCTGGCGAGGTGGCTGTGTGTTCACTTGCAATGAAGTCAGCGCGTGATTTTCCTATCTCTTTCTCCCTCTCCCTTCCCCTCTGAAATCAATAAAATCATATTTTTTTAAAATCACGTCCTTAGTTCAATCCATACAGTCCGCCCCTTATCTGTGAAGGATGCATAGCCAGAGGTGGGGATCGCAGGAAGTGCTGAGACAGGAAGGGTGAGACAGGGAGGGTGAGCTGCAGGGCCGCAGGGGAGAGGTGAAACCACCACCACCCGGGTTTATGCCTAAAACCAGCTGAGAGCAGCTCCCCCACCCAACCTCCGACTTCAGCCTCATTGCGTGCTCACCGAGGCCGAGGCACCATCCATGGACACAGGGGTGGCCAGCCGGCCCCGCCCCTGATCCAACTCGGGGTCCAACTCCCAGTCCAACTCCCAGTCAAGGGGACAATTTGCATATTAGCCTTTTATTCTATAGGATAGTAGTCATTTGCATCCGAAATGAGACACCCACCAGCCACACATACACACCAACCATGCATACACACACACTCATTCACACACATACACACACACCGGACACACACACACACATGCACACACACACACCAGCCACACACATTAATACATACACACATACACACCAGCCACACATACTCACACATACACACACACACACATACACACCAACCATGCATACACACACTCATTCACACACACATGCACACACACGCATACACACCAACCATGCATACACACACACTCATTCACACACACACACCAGCTGCACGGCTGTGATCAGGAGCTGAGGCCCAGACTACCACGGATGCTGGGCTGCTCAGGCCCCGGACTATTTGTCGGCGAAAACTAAAATGAAAACAGCTGCTCTCCACAGAGGTGACGTTTTCAGAAACTGCTAGGAGATTCATACGAACACCGAGTTCTAGAACTTCGGGGGGAAAGCAAGAACACGAGGCATTTCGGGAAAACGCAGGATCACAGACAGATCAGCTCCGAGTCAGTCAGGACCGGTCGTCGGCCAGTTCCTTAAAGCAGAGAGGGGCCACACCAGGAGGGCTCCGAGGTGCTGAGGCCGTGCTGGGCCAGGGGTGGGGGCACCCACAGCTTTCTGTCCTGGGGCTCCCCTCCCCGGGGCCCAGACAGAACCGCCAGAGCTCATGGACCCGGCCCGGGGCCGTCGGTTCTGACCCAGGCGTCCCGGATAGACCATCCCAAGGCCCCCGCTGCAGTTCCTGCCAGCCTCCCCCACACGGTCCCTGAGCCGCAGCAGACACGGCGGGCTGGCCCCTCGGGTGGCGTGAGGCCAGCGTGTGCAGTGTCTCTCAGGCCGGGGACACATGGGCTGGCTTAGCGTGTTGTTCTTTCCTCCTCACTCACTTCCTGAGTTCGTAAAAGAATTATTAAGTGCAGGGTGCGCTCCCTGAAAATATTTTTCCAGCCAATTTCAGGTCTTGGGTGACAAAACCGGTTTTTAAAAAGTTGTGTTTTCCCCCCCAGGGCTATGCAAGCGGCCACCAGCCAGTGGGTGTCAGATGGCGAGTTCCCGCTGACAGCAACTCAGTCCCAGCCCCGACCCCGATCGGACAGCCTTTCTCATCACAACGCCCGCCCTTCTCACAGATAACCCGTGCGGAAGCAGCTCGCTGCCAGCATTCCCACCGTCCACGGGAGAGAGCAGGACGCACGTTCTTACCGCCCGTGAGGACGTGTCTGCCTGTTCTGGGAAACCAACCTTGGGAATGGACGCACAGATCAGAAACTTCCTCTTTTTATTATCAACCCTCGCCCCAAGGATATGTTTCCATTGGTTTTTAGAGGGAGAGACAGAGAGAGACATGACGTGAGAGAAACACATCGATGGGTTGCCTCCAGCAGGAGCCCTGACCAGGGCCCGGGCCAGGGAGGAGCCTGCAACCGAGGTACGTGCCCTTCACCGGAATCGAACCCGGGACCCTTTGGTCCACAGGCTGATGCTCTACCCACTGAGCCACACCGGCCAGGGCCACCATGAATCCTCACAGGTGATCTGATCGGTCTCCTCAAACATGAGCTGTCACGGAAGGCCGCAGACCGCTGTCAGGTAAAGGCGGTCTGAGTCACATGTCGTCGTTTTTGGTAAAATAAACGGACACAGACCATCGTACGGGCCACCCTCCGGCAGCGTGGGGACGCGCAGCCGCCAAGCCTGCGGTGAGGAACAAAAATAGCCCGGAGCCGCCGGGAAGGAGCGGACACGACCACTTCCCTTTGCGAAAGCGTACACAGACGGGAGGCTCTTCCGGGTGTGTGTGTGTGTGTGTGTGTGTGTGTTTGGCCAAAGGAAATATCTGGTCCTTCCCCGGCGCACTGCAGCCCTCCAGTGACTCCTAACACTCGGCACCCAGACCGGCCCTGGCGCGGCTCCGGCCCGTCCTTCCCGGGAAGGGATCTGAGAACCGGGGTTCGGAGCACGGGGGGCGGCCCAGGCACCCCCTTCCCGGGACTCCCCGCGGGCTGAGATCCTGGGGGTCAGCAAACGGAGAGGGCCAGACCCCAGCCGGGGGTCAGAGGGCTCCGTCGGCGACCAGACCTACCCGGGCAGCGCGGCGTCTTGTGGGCCACGGCGGTGCCGCTAATGGGCCTCCCGTTGGGTGTCACGCACCAGCAGTATCCCGTGTAGCTGTGACACTGGACCTGGGGGGACAGGGCGTGCGGTCAGGGCGGGCCTCACCACACAAGCCCAGGAGAGGGATGCACACACACACACACACACACACATGCACACATACACACGCACACACACATACATGCACACACACATGCATGCACACATACGCATGCACACACACGCCACCAGAGGCACTCACCCAGGCCCGTGTGCCACCGAGGTCGTGTGGCCCCGGGCTGGCCGCTGGGGGTGAGTTCCGTTGGAACCGGGTCTCAGCACAAACAGCGGTGGGTGCCCCAGCCTCACCACCAGGCTGCCCAGCCCGTTCACCCCAGAGGGGCGACGTAGAGCAAGGCCACGGGCTCCGCCAGGAAGGAGTGGGGCCACTCACCACCCACTCCTGCAGATGAGCCCGATCAGGGACAGAGCACCCCCGACCCTGCTGTAGAGCGTGTACCTGCTGTAGCATGTACCTGCTGTAGCATGTACCTGCTGTAGCGTGTACCTGCTGTAGCGTGTACCTGCTGTAGGAGTACCTGCTATAGAACATGTACCTGCTGTAGCGTGTACCTGCTGTAACATGTACCTGCTGTAGAATGTGTACCTGCTGTAGCGTGTACCTGCTGTAGCATGTACCTGCTGTAGCCTGTACCTGCTGTAGCCTGTACCTGCTGTAGAGCGTGTACCTGCTGTAGCGTGTACCTGCTGTAGAACGTGTACCTGCTGTAGCGTGTACCTGATGTAGCATGTACCTGCTGTAGCATGTACCTGCTGTAGCCTGTACCTGCTGTAGTGTGTACCTGCTGTAGCGTGTACCTGTTGTAGAACGTGTACCTGCTGTAGCGTGTACCTGCTATAGCGTGTACCTGCTGTAGAACGTGTACCTGCTGTAGCCTGTACCTGCTGTAGAACGTGTACCTGATGTGTACCTGCTGTAGCGTGTACCTGCTATAGCATATACCTGCTGTAGTGTGTACCTGCTATAGCGTGTACCTGCTGTAGAACGTGTACCTGATGTGTACCTGCTGTAGCGTGTACCTGCTATAGCGTATACCTGCTGTAGTGTGTACCTGCTATAGCGTGTACCTGCTGTAGAACGTGTACCTGCTGTAGCCTGTACCTGCTGTAGAACGTGTACCTGATGTGTACCTGCTGTAGCGTGTACCTGCTATAGCATATACCTGCTGTAGCGTGTACCTGCTATAGCATATACCTGCTGTAGCGTGTACCTGCTATAGCATATACCTGCTGTAGCGTGTACCTGCTGTAGCGTGTACCTGCTGTAGCGTGTACCTGGCTGTAGGTGCCGTCCTCGCTGCACTCCGGGATGAACACCTGCTGGAACTCCTTCCTCGCCTGCTCCTGTGTGTACTTCCGCTCGGCCACACACCGGGACACGTCTGCAGGCGGAGCAGAGCAGTGCGGTTACACGCCAGGACAAGACAACGCCAGACACAGGCACGTGGAGACGCAGGCGCCATGGGCGGGCGAGGCCACCCAGGTCCCAGCGCGAGGCCGGCTGCTCCGAGGCGGGGCCTCTCGACACCCGAGGAGCCGGGCGGAGCTGGGAGGGCTCCTGGGTCGATCTGGGACACGGGACCGGCTTCATGGGTCTCAGAGTGTCCTCTGGAGCCCACAGGGCCCCGTCCACAGGCCCAGTGGGAGGGAGGAGCACAGGCCCCGGGGCAGGACGTTCTGGCCACAGCGGGTCCAGGCCGCCCCCTGGATCACCAACCAGGGAGCACCGGGCCTCCCGGTGCCAGGTGCCTAGACCTCGCAGCAATGCCCGGCTCCGCCTCTCCTGCCCATCAGTGAGCCCAGCCGCTCCAGCACCCGCTCAGAGCTGCCAGCCGGCCGGCCGGGCGGCTCAGTGGTTGAGCATCAACCTAGGAACCAGGAGGTCAGGGCATGCGCCCGGGTGGTGGGCTGGATCCCCAGTGGGGGGCGTGCAGGAGGCAGCCGATCAGTGGTTCTCGCTCCTCACGGATGCTTCTCTCTCTCTCCCTCTCCTTCCTCTCTGAAATCAATAAAAATCTATAATTTTTAAAAAACAGCTAAGACACGATCGGAGGCAGAGCCCGCAGGCCTGTGCTCCTCAGGAGGCACCCCCGCGACTCCGCAAACAGCGGAAAGGAAAAGTCCGGAAGCGCCGACAGAACCACGCTGCCAAGACGCGGCCGAGACGGTCAGCCCGCGTGTCCTCTCGGGGCTGGTGGCCCGGGCCTCCCATGGAGGCCCGCGGATGGCTGGTCACACCCTCGCCGGGGGTGCAGGCACAGCGCCGGCACAGAGACGGTGATGTCGCCATGGCTACGCCCGTGCCCGGGGGACTGGAAACATCGGCCACACTCGGCAAAGTATCGGCTGTCTGACCACAACGCATGTCAGACACCGAGGCACAATAACGTGGACAGAGAGAGACACCTCCGCGCCTCGAACCCTGCTCTGCCACGAGGCAGAGGGCGAACGGTGGGGTGGTGAGCCGAGGAAGGGAGGCTGTGGCCCAGGAGGCCCGCCGTGGCCCACGGCTGCGTGTCTGACCGCCGGTCCTGCCGGCAGGAGGAGGACATACGGATGCCGGCCGGATCCCGGAGGGGGAGTGAGGGGCCGGCCCTCCTGTCCCGCCCGGCCAGGGGCCAGGGAGCCTCTGGCAGCGAGGCCTCGCCATCCTCGCCGCGCCCGCGGACACCCTCACCGCGCCGTTTCCCTCCTCTGGGCCCCGACCCTGGAGCCCGTTTGCGTTTTAAAGCTTGAAAAGAGCGGCTTTCCCCAGCTGTCTTAAGTGTTTCCAGATTTAAATAACCGGTTGTCAGATCTGAGGGCCCGTGGGCTCCGAGCGCCGCTTCTCCCAGCACCGCTGCCCAGCGGCTCCGGCAAACTGCTGGCTGCCAGGAGGTGCCAGCCCGGCACAGCCCGGCCCGGGGGCTTCTGGGAGCTCCGGTGTCCCTGATGGAGTGCAGGCCCTGCCGGGGCGGGCAGCCCGGCCGCCACGACCCCCCGCCCCCGCCCCCGACGGGCTGGTCCGCAGGGGCCTCCTTTGTCCACGCTGGCCGGCCGGCCGCCCTCCGGCGTGTGGTTTTACTGCGCCCTGTGTTTGGCCGCGGGAAATCACTGCTTGCCGGCCGGCCTCCGTCCGGGCAGCTGCGGTCTGACCGTCCAAAGGGAAATGTGATAGGGCCGCGGCCGGGCCCGCGGTGGAGGGAGTTACAAATTGTGCCCAGCGCTTGAACTCTCGTGGAACGAGCAGAAAGCACCCGTTTTCCAGGCTGCTCTCGGCGGCCGTTCCTGGCGTGGGGCGTGGACACCACCTCCTTGTAAAGACCGGCCCCCTGCGCGGGCGGGAGGTTTCGAACCAGCAGCCCCGGGTCCGGCGGCCATGGGCGATCACGCAGGGGGGACCCAGGCCCACGCGCCCGTCGCCCGGGTGCAGGCCTGTGGTCACCCCGCCCCTGCCAGCGCCCTCCCAATGTGCTGACTCAGCACCGGCCACGGGCTGCCTGCGGCGAGGAGCCTGGACACCCTCCCGGCGATTCTGCTGAGACATGCAAAACACCAGGCGGTTCCCCCAGAGCTGCACCAGGCGGTTCCCCCAGAGCTGCTCCCGCCGCTGGGGCTGCGTGTCCTGTTACTCTGTGTGGTCAGGACACGTGACGACAGGCCACGGGCTCGGCTGGCTTTCCCGGGCACCGTCTTCTTTGGGGCCACGGGGGAGCCCACGGCAAAGCCACGGCCGAGCCTGCCTCCTGTCCTTCCCTTTACTTATTTAATCTGTTTTTATTGATGTCAGAGAGGAAGGAGAGGGAGAGAGAAACATCCACGATGAGAGAAAATCGGTGACCGGCTGCCTCCTGCACACCCCACACTGAGGGCTGAGCCTCAACCCAGGCCTGTGCCCCGACCGGGGATCGAACCCTGACCTCCTGGTTCAGAGGTGGATGTTCAGCCCCTGAGCCCCGCCCGCCAGGCCCGTCCTTCACTTTAAACGGGCGCCTGGCCGGCCTGCTCCCGAGAGAGACCAAATCCCACGCCCTCCCTAAGGAATCTAAGCTCGCAGCATCGCGCTGTCCCCTCCGTGCCCCGTGCTCCCTGCAGACAGGATGGAGGCTCAGGCTCCCGCTCCCGAGGCCGCCCGGTGAGCCCCTCACGCCGTGCCTGTGCTGTGGTCCGGTGAGGACGCAGCAGGCCCTCCCTGGGCACCTTGTGGTTTGTTTGTTTTTCTTTTTGGACACGTCATTGTTAACAGTTTGAAAATTAGATCCTAAAACGCGAGCCCCATCATGATTCCACTGGGATCCACGACACGAACTCAAAGCCGACCTCGTGGCCGTCTGAGCGTGGGGCGCGGGGGCCTCAGAGGTCCACCATGCCGTGGAGCCCAGACAGAGCTCCAAGGAACCCCAGCCACCCTCCGCCCCTCCTTCCCGGTGCCTGCTGGGCCCACGCTTCCCTTCCCCAGCTGCTGATGGGCCGCCTCGCGGCACCTCATCTTTCTCTGGCCCTAAAACCCACCCCCCGCCCTGGCCAGTGTGAGCCAGCGGTTAGTGAACACGGACCACGTCAGAAGGGCTCTGTCTCCAGAGTCACGGAAGTCACTCTTCTTCCCCCTGATCTGAAAGCATTCACAGGCTTACACCTGAGCCCTTACAATGCAGTGGCCGTGGAACCGAAGACACGGCGTGGCAGTCACGTGGCACCTCCTCACGTGGCACTGGCCTCACATGGCACCGCCTCACGTGGCACCGCCTCACGTGGCACCGCCTCACGTGGGACCTCCAGTGTGCGGATGATTACCTTTGCAGTTGCCCCGGTACGCGATCTCCAGCTGCGGGTCCTTGCACTTGGCGCGCTGGAACTCGCAGCGGGACAGGAAGGTCCTCCCGTCGGACGCACAGACCGGCTTCTGGGGGGAGCCCCCGCAATCCAGGCTGCAGTCCTTGTCCTTGTCCTGATCGACGCGTAAAAACTGCGAGGGAGAGAGAAACAGATCGCCCGATGAAACGCGTTCAGCCCGGCCGGCGGGGCCAGGGGCTGAGCGTCGGCCTGTGAACGCGGGTCAGGGTGCGATTCCCTGTCGGGGCGCAGGCCCGGGCAGTGGGCTCCATCCCCAGTGTGGGGCATGCAGGAGGCAGCCGGTCCATAATTGTCTCATCCTCCGTCCCTCTCCCCTCCTCTCCAACATCTATAAATACGTATACATGTATTTTTTAAAGACGTGTTCCCAGCAGAGCAGCAGGGAGCAGATAGCGACGGGGCACCACGTCTGGAGCTGCGGCCGGGCTCTCAGGGAGACCTGACTTCTTGGCCGTCGCTCACTTCCCAAACTCTCGGAAACCCGCCGACCTCTCCGCCTGCGTTTGGTGCTGAGTTGCCTGAGGTAGACGGCGTGTGACGCTGTCCCGTGCGCATGGAGGAGAGCGCACCCTCTACAATCCGCTGCCTGTTACTCCCCGCTCCCTGGCTCTGCCCTCACCGGGAGGGGAGGAGTCAGTGAGGGAATCGGGGGGGGGCATGAAATAGCCCCACAGGGCCCCCCGAGGCCGAGCTCCGTGTGCATCTTGCCCAGACTAGATCCTATCTTGTCCAACAAAAGACTAATATGCAAATCAACCGAATGGCAAAATGACCGGCCGCTATGACGTTCACTGACCACCAGGGGGTAGACGCTCGATGCAGGAGCTGCCCCTCGTGTGCCAGCAGCCGTGGCAAGAGCCTCTGCGGCAGCACTAAAATGTCCGGCATAGGCTGCTCCCTGCACCCCGAGGCTCCCGGGCTGAGAGGGCGCAGGCTGGGCTGGGGGACCCCCAACCCCCAACCCCCCCCCCCCCCCCGCAGTGCACAGTGTCGTGCACCAGCACTCTAGCTTCCGAATCAACGCCCGGGGGAGCGGTTTCTGTGGAGGCCTCATGGCTCTAGGGCTGGCCCATGTCCCCCACAGTCGCTGCCCAGGGCCCCCCATGCTCCCCAGCCCTGAGGACACCCTGGGTTCCCTGTCCCCCTCAATCTAACAGTGCCCCCCAGAGGCCTGGGCTCCCACATGGCACTTCCTGCCCAACAGATGGCGCTCCCTGCCCACCCGACTCCCCAACCTCTGCACATGCTCCCCCTACAGGCCTAGTCTTTCCCCATCCCCTACCCCATCCCCTCCCCCCACCCCAACCCCCAACCCCCGACCCCTGGCCCCTGCCCCCCGACCCCCGACCCCCCAGCCTCTGCAGGTACTCCCACTACAGGCCTAGTCCTCCCCATTCCCTTCCCCCTCCCCGATCCCCGCCCCCGACCCCCGACCCCCAGCCTCTGCACATGCTCCCTCTGCAGACCTAGTCCTCCCCTCCGACCCCCTCCCCCTGATCCCCGACCCCCGACCCCCGCCAGGAGGGACAGCTCATGTGCAGGGGCCTCAGGAGCTCCTGGGGGTGAGGATTCCCGTATCGCACCTGAGAAACCCCCACCCCTGCCACGGCCGGGGCTGGACGTGACCTCACAACACAGCTGCCCTGCCCACAGGGGAGGGGGGGGGGAGAGAGAGGGAGAGAGAGCGGGGGAGAGAGAGAGAGAGAGAGAGAGAGAGGGAGGGAGAGAGAGAAAGGGAGAGAGAGAGAGAGAGAGAGAGAGAGAGAGAGAGAGAGAGAGAGAAGGAGGGGAGAGAGAGAGAGAGAGAGAGAGGGAGGGAGAGAGAGAGAGAGAAAGGGAGGGAGAGAGAGAGAGAGGGAGAGAGAGAGAGAGGGAGAGAGAGAGAGAGAGAGGGAGGGAGAGCGAGAGAGAGGAGGAGAGAGAGAGAGAGAGAGGGAGAGAGAGAGAGAGGGAGAGAGAGAGAGAGAGAGAGAGGGAGAGGGAGAGGAGAGAGAGGGAGAGAGAGAGAGAGAGAGAGTCTTCTACTTGGCTGAGGTCTCCAGGAAGTGGAAGCAGTGACTCGGGGGCCTCTGCAAACACAGACACGGAGACCACGTCCAGGCACCTGGCGTCTGGCCACGCTCTTGGCCTGACGGGGCAGAGCCCACGGGGGCCTGCCTTTGCCGGAATATGAGGGCGCTCTTCGCTCACGTCTCTCTCTCCCCCCTGTTCACTTCCATCCCACGGGAAATGGGGTGCGGAGGGGAAGGCCTAGGACCTCGAGGGGAAGGGGACCGTCCGGCCAAAGGGTCTGCTCTTCGTTAGGACCTGGTGGCAGGTTTGCAAGCTCATTGGGCGAAAGGCACTTGGCCAGACTCAGGACGACATCGGCTGGACCTTGAGCAACAGGATTTTAAAACAACAGCCTGGCTGCAGGGCCGCCCTCTGTGCCCACACACGTCCGTCCGTCCGCACAGGGGCAGGGGGCCCGGGGAGGGGGCCCGGGGAGGGGGCCCCTGACGAGTGTGAGGCGAGGGAGAGGGAACGGCAAGGCCCGGGGCAGCCCCCGCACAGTCCCCCACCCCCCGAGGTCACATCTCACTCACGCGGCATCATCCCGAGCCGCGGGGTCACCCTGAGCCCCGGGGTCACCCTGAGCCGCGGGGTCACCCTGAGCCTCGGGGTCACCCTGAGCCCCGGGCGTCACCCCAGGACACGGCCATCACCCCAAGCTGCGGGGTCACCCCGAGCCCCGGGCATCACCCTGAGCCGCGGGGTCACCCTGAGCCTCGGGGTCACCCTGAGCCGCGGGGTCACCCTGAGCCGCGGGGTCACCCTGAGCCACGGGGTCACCCTGAGCCGCGGGCGTCACCCCGGGACACGGCCATCACCCCGAGCCGCAGGCGCAGTGTCCGAGATGCCCTCCCTGCCCGGGCGCCTGGCCTGTGTCACTGACGCCTCCGGGTGTCTGCGCCCTCCCTCCCCGGTCAGGCGGAGCAGGCTGCCCGTCCGCGGTCTCCCACGGGTGTCCCGGCCGAGGCCGCGGCGAGGCGGCTGTGATTGTCCCTGACGGTGCGGAGTCCGGCCCTGGGTCAGAGCACACACCCGGGCGGCACGGAGCTCACGCCCGCCGGGAGCCGATCGTTGTTTCAGGAACACAGAGCTGCGGACAGGAGTCCGGGCCTGGTCAACCGCAATTGTTCTGAAGGGTCAGAGCTAATGGCTAGACATTGGTAGTAGAAGCAGCCCCCACCTGTTAGTCCTACACTCACTGATTGGCTTTTATCGGCGTTTCCTGCCCAGGGGACACGGGTGTGTCCTATAATTCTAACCTTAATGAAAGGGACGGAAAGGCCAGAGCGAAGAGTCGTCCTCCACTAGAGTTGGACTACCGCCTGGCCCCCATTTCCCAAATTAAATCTTTTCTCAAGTCTCTTTTTCCTTTGTGTGCGGCCTTCTCCAGAGCCCGAACCCTGAATCGGAACCCTGAACCACATGGGACGTGAAAGGGGCTCCCACATTTGACACCTGACGGAGGACAGCCTTTCACATGCGGTTGCCCGGCACCTGCTGGGGGGGGGGGGGGGGGGGGAGGTCCCGGCACAGCGCGGGGAGCTGCAGCCCAGCCCACAGCCCCGCCCTGAGCCCTGGGCCTTGGAGGAGGCGGGAGCACCACCCCGAGCATCTGTCCCCCTTTCTCACCACACGCGGAGGGCGTGTTTGGAACACGGAAACGGGCGGGATGCTCAGGGGAGGCATTCCTGCCGAGCCAGGCCCGGCTAATATTCCCACAGGCCCTGCTCCTTCCCGCCCCGCCCTCCACAACGGAAATAATTCACCGGAAACGGCACTGGACCGCAGCCGGCTCATCACCGCGGGAGGGGCGCCCGGGCTGCCGGTGGTTCTCACAGGAGGAGACTGGAAATCGGGGACACAGCCTGAGACAACCAGGCCTGGCCCAGGGCCCTCCCGCCTGGCAGGCAGGAGCCGGGGTCCGGGGGCCTCCTGCTGACCCCCCGCAGGGCTCCACCACCCGGGTCTCACTCAGCCAGCGTCTGCACCATGGACACCCACAGCCACAGACACAGTATCTTGCATCTTTAATGTTAAAACATGATGTGGTGTCCACTGACGTGGTTCAGCCACAACAGCAAATGCGAGGTGTCACGGAGGGTCAGAGGCGGAACTCGTTCAGTTGAAATCTGGCATTAAATGCCCTTAAGCCCAGACCAGTGTGGCTCAGTGACTGGGCATCGACACGGGAGCCAGGCGGTCACAGTCTGATGCCTGGTCAGGGCACAGGCCCGGGATGTGGGCTCCATCCCCAGTGGGGGGTATGCAGGAGGCAGCCGATCATATTCTTTCTCACCATTGATGTTTCTCTCTCTCTCTCCCTCTCCCTTCCTCTCTGACATCAATCAATATATAGGCTAGAGGCCTGAAGCATGGAAATGGTCTGAGAGTAGGCCTTCCTTCCCCTGGCTGCTCGCACCCAGGAGCCAGGCTTCCCTCAGCCCTAGGCTTGTCCAGAAGGTGGGCCGGAAGGACATACGGTCTAATTAGCATATTACAATTCCATCCTTATAGACACACACACACACACACACACACACACACACACTGGAGGCCTGGTGCACCCGTCAGCAGACCAGGAGCCCTCAGGGATGTCCACCTGACGGTTTAGGGCCTAGTGGGGTCGGACATCCTTAACACGGCTGTGGAGGACAGTCACTGCGCTCACCAGCCGTGAGCCCCACTTCTAGCCGAGCGGTGCTCGGGCTTCCCATGGACTGGGAGGCCCTGAAGCCTGCAAACCCCACAACTCCCAGGGGTACACGTCCTAACACGTTAACGGTCATGCCAGGGTGCATGCAAGTCTAAGAAATCTGGAGTATCAGCCCATCAGAGTGAACTTCGTCTTATTTACAGCAAATCAACAGATGCATGTAAACCATTCACACTCTCAGCGAGAGGAGCTGGGTGAGTCAGGATGCCGGAACGCTGGCCCTGGGGACGGGGGTGATTCAGAGAGGAGCTGAGGGAGCACATCAGCCAGCGACCCGCCCTGACCCGGCCCAGACACCCGGCCTCCCCCAGGACTCCAGTCTCCGCCACCGGGTGCCCACACGGCCG